GACAGCGACTAAGCCCTGAGTTCAAGCTCCAAGTCTGGCCAAAATAAAAATAAATAAATAACATTTAAAAAGACTACTACTTCCTGCCAGTTACCTGGTTCACTCTTAGGCCCCCTCCCAGCTTAAATTGGGAAAATAGAGGTTAGAACAGCATGAACATTAGTTTACCTGAATTTATTTTCTCAAAGTGTTGCCTTTTGTATACCAATGGCTGGTAACTTTGTGTGTGTGTATGCTTATCCTGGGGCTTGAACCCAGGGCCTAGGCGCTGGCCCTGAGCATTTGTGCTCAAGGCTAGTGCTCTACCACTTGAACAACAGTGCCTCTTCTAGTTTTCTGGTGGTTCATTGGAGATAAGAGTCTCACAGACTTTCTTGCTTGGGCTGGCTTTGAACTACAATCCTCAGACCTTAAGATTACAGGCATGAGCCACCAGGGCCTGGCTGTTTTTTGTTTGTTTAAAACAAAACAAAACAAAAAAAACCTGTCCTCTCATCCATTTCCTGTACTGGGGGCTTTGAACTCAAGGGCTTCTGGAAAGACAGAGCTATTCTATCCAGCCCAGATTTGTGCTGTCACCCCCCCCCCCCACGCCATGTCCAGGGGCTTGAACTCAGGGCCTGGGCACTTTGCCAAGCCTTTTTGTGCTCCACCACTTGGGCCACAGCACCACGTCCAGTTTTTGTGTGGTTAATTGGAAATAAGATTCTCACAGGGGCTTTTCTCCCTGGGGCTGGTTTCAAACCATGATCCTCAGATCTCAGTCTCATGAGGAGCTAGGATTATAGGTGTGAGCCAACAGTGTTTGGCTGCTGGTTATTTTTAAGAGAATGGGGGTGGGGGGGATTCGCAGAAACTTTTCTATCCAGAATAGCTTCAAATTGAGATGCTCCAGATCTAGCCTGCAGAGTAGTTAGGATGACCATCGTGAGCCACCACATGTAGTCAATTACACTTCGTGTCCATCCACAAGTCTTGCTGTGATAATAACTATGGGGCAGAAACTCCCCTAAAAGAGAATATGGTGCGACCTTCCTCCACGGATGACCATGGTCTGTGCTTGTGAGCAAGGCCTAACAAATTGAAGACCTAAGTTTATTCTTTTTCTCCTAAGATACCCACTCCATCTGCCCACAGGGAGCAACAGGGAGGCGTAAAGGCTTATGGATTGGTTTTAGGGATTACAGGGGAGCCCTGACCTGCTTTTCCCTCAAACTGGAGATCAAATGAAAGAGAACTGGAGGAATGTAGGGAAGCAGCACCAACTCAGAAACTAGCTGGGCACTGGTACTCTGCGATCTGAGGATTGCAGCTCAAACCAGTCCAGACTGCAAAGTCTATGAGACTAAATCTCCAATTAACCACCAAAAAACTCTGGAAGTGAAACTGGGTGGTGGTGGCTCACGTCTATAATCCTAGCTACTGGGGAGACTGAGACCTGAGGATTGTGGTTCAAAGCCAGCCTGAGCATGAAAGTCAGTAAGACTCATATCTACAATGAACTACCAGAAAACTGGAAGGGGCTCTGTAGCTCAAAGGGGTAAGGCATTACCCTTGAGCAAAAGGGCTCAGGGACAGCACCCAGGCTCTGAGTTCAAGTCCCACAATCAACAACAACAACAAAAAAAGTGGGGGGGGAGGTGGAGGAGAGAGAATTTCTCTTATGTTTAAAGAATTACCAACCCCAACCATGTAGGATAAGGCAAACACCCAGGAGCAGAGCTCTGCTTTTAGCCTAGGCTTGCTTCTCTCCCCTGAAACACCTTTTCCTTTGTCCAGCAAGGATGAGGGAAGGCCCTCCAGTGTGAGAACCTTTACTTGCTGGACAGATTCTAGTTCCTTTGCTTTCTCTTCACCTCTAATGTATATTAGTGGTGAAGAGAAAGCAAAGAAACTAGCACAGGTAGACTCATACTGCAGAAGCACACATATCTGGGCATGGTAGCATACACCTATACTCTCAACTACTTAGCAAGCTAACACAGCAGAAACCTAGGAGTTTAAGGCTAGGATTGACCACATAGGAGCACTCTGTGTAAAAGTAATAACTAAGGGCTGGGAAGGTGGCTCAGTGGTAGAGCGCTTGCCTTGCATGCATGAGGCCCTGGGTTCGATTCCTCAGCACCACATAAGCAAAAAGAAAAAAGCTGGAAGTGGCACTGTGGCTCAAGTGGTAGAGCGCTAGCCTTGAGCTGAAGAGCTTAGGGACAGTGCCCAGGCCCAGAGTACAAGTCCCACGACTGGACCCCCCCCCAAAAAAAGTAATAACTAAAAGTGCACCACAATTAACAGTGACAGGAAGAGATGGATACTGGTAGCTCACACTAATCTCCTAGCTATATCTAATTGAGATCTGAGGACTGAAGTTCAAAGTCAGCCCAAGCAGAAAAAAGTCCTGAGACATATTTTATTTTTTATTGGTCATGGGTCTTGAACTCGGCCTGGGCACTGTCCCTCAGCTCTTCAGCTCAAGGCTAGCTCCACCATTTGAGCCACAAGCACCACTTTCGGCTTTTTTTTCTGCTTATGTGGTGCTGAGGAATCGAACCCAGGGCCTCATGCATGCAAGGCAAGCACTCTGTCACTGAGCCACCTTCCCAGCCCACCCTGAGATTTTTATCTCCAAGTAACTACCCAAAAAAGCCTGAAGCGGGTGGAGGTGTGGCACACATGGTAGGGCACTGGTCATGAACAGAAAAGCCAAGCGAGACTACAAGTGTGAGTTCAAGCCCCAGTCCTAACACACACACACACACACACACACACACACACACACACACACACACACACACACACACACACACACACACACACACACACACACACAGTAAGAAAGCTATTGAACCCTGAAGATTTGAGAAATATGCAATAGATAACTATGGAGAGTAGAGACTGGAACTCATTAGCTATTCCTAAACCTTGACTACCCTGTCACTCCTCTCCCGGGTTGGGTACAGAAATTTCCAATAAGGAACTTGCTGTGCCAGACTTTCAATTTACAGGCAGGTAAGTTATAGCCTCTCCCCCTTCCCCACCCTAGTCTTGAGGCTTGAACTCAGGGCCTGGGCACTATCTCTTAGCTTTAGCTCAACCTCTTGGTTTATAGCAGTTACCAGGAGATAAAGAGTCTCATGGACTTTCCTGTATGAGCTTCAAATCTCAGATCTCATCCTCTTGAGTAGCTAGGATTTACAGGCATGGGCCACCAATTCCTGGCTATGCTGGCTATTCTATTACAAAACACCATGGTATTTTGTAGACCCAGAGAGCCAGTCACCAATCCTGCCATCTTTCTAGCACAAGATCATCATGCCTAGATTCAGAAAGGTACTGTGAATGAAGAGCTAGGAAACACAAAACAGAAATACAACTTGTCTCTGATGGATGATAAAGCACTCCAGCATGTGTGATGCACCAAAGGCTTTGGAGCAGACCAAGCTGAGCCCAGGTGTGATAGCCAATCACTGGATCCCTCTGGATGCCACCTTCCTCAGCCACATGGGAAGGAGAGAAGGGGGAAAAGCACAAGGGGCGAAGGCAGCGTCTAAATGGAATACCATGAGGTTTCAATGAGATAATGGGCAACAGAGCACCTCACTGAGCTTGGTAGGAAACCTACGGACAAGGTGGCATAGCTCCTGGAAATAAAGAGTCTCAGCCAGATGCCAGTGTCTCACGTCTGTCATCCCCGCTACTCAGGAGGCTGAGATTTAAGAATCAAGGTCAGGAAAGTCTGTGAAACTTTCATCTCTGATCAACCTCCAGAACAACAGAAGTAGTGCTGTGGCTCAAAGCATAAGCCCTATGACTGACAAAAAAAAAACAAAAAAAGTCACACACACTAAATCCTAAGGGCTGGGGACTCATATGGTGGAGTGCTTGCCTACCATAATAAACACAAGTCCCTAGGTTCAAAACCCAGTACTGCCAGAAATAATAAAAGAGAGATTGAAGGTTTGGGTCCCTCCCTACCGCCCCACATACCCACCCCAGCTCCTGAACCCCCTCCTCACCTTCCCAACCCGACTGCTACATTGATGAAGCTAAAAGGGTTTGATCATGTTGGTATATTTATAGGTAAATACAAAACCATATCACTGTAAGAGACTGAATAGGAACATTACAATTATTTTCGGCATCTGACTCAGTCCATTGGTGTTAAATACAAAAATGAAATGATTGTAAAAAATAAAAAATATACAGAAAGATCTTATTACAGTATAAAAATTATGGAGGTCTGATCAGGTGCCAACCTCATCTTCAGTAATGGGGGGAGAGAACGTTTTGGAGGTTGTGGGAATGTAGAGTGTTGGGGAATTGTTGGTTCTGGGTCTGGCTCATCAGGGTGGGTGGGTGGGCTGGGCAAAGGCAGGGGCAGGATGGGCAGGTAGAAAATGAAAGGTGATTGAAAGGTACCATCCCACTCAACAAGGGGCTATGCTTTCCACTCATTAAGAACCCATCCAGTCTGAGGTCTTGGGTAAGGCAGGAAGAAGAGGGCATCTCAGTAGGACATGTGCCCAAGGAACCTTCCAGGGGCACAGGGGGAAGAGGGGGGGGGTCCTTGCGGGGGAGAATTCTCTCCTAGTCACATCTCCTCTCATACACCTTGTACCGTACTGATTGCTTTTGGCTCTGGCTGCTCAGTGAGTTCGTCTCCCTCCCTGCCCCACCCCGGGGACATCAAAAGGAAGCTGGAGTCTGCAATCACAGTGGAGGTCCATTCCCAAAAATCAGCAAAAGGAAACAGAGAAAATCTGTTAAGATAAAGGGCAATCTGTGCTGAATGAAACCAGTGTTACCGCAAATGACAATTTTTGACTCCCACCGGAGTACAGGAGGTCACTGCGTAAGGAGGAGAACTGGATGGGTCCCCTTTCCTTCATGTCCCCCCTCATCGGACAACAGGAGCCCCGACCAAACCCTGGCTGGTGCAGGACAAGGAGGAGGGGGCGCTGAAGGGCAACGCGGAGCCCCAGGAATGTCTACAAAGAGTATCTGTGTGTATATGTATTTATAGAATACGACCATATTATCACATACAATATATATTATATACACACACACATATAGATCCATACACGGAAGAGTGCATACGCGCATACACACACACACAGGAGGACGGGAGAGATGGGCACACACGCCCTCTGGAAAAACGTGCTTGGCATGTGGGCCAGGCGCCAGCGTACGTCACATGGTCAAGCTCTCTGGGTAGGAAGGTGAGCGCTCACCAAGCCTCCTGGTGAAATCCTAGCAAAGGAAAGGAGTGGGAGAGAGGAAACCTCCAGAAGAATGGCACTGGGGAGGGGGAGGGAGGTTCCTGCCCCACTTACCTCGGCCCCCTGGCAAAAAATCAATAGCCACAATTTGGTTTTAATAAGGCACAGTTCAATAGCAGGTGCTAGGAGTGAAGAACACATCGCCGCTGGCCCTTTTCTAGTGACAATTTCACCACACTTCGCTAGCCAAAGGGCAAGGCTGCCCGGCGTGCCCGCCTGCACCAGGAGACGCCGATGGCTCTGTCCATGGCTTCGGTGGGACTGACGGCACCTCTAGGCTCAGCAGAGTCCAGGGTGGTTTAAGGAAGGCTGGCCAGCAGGTAGGAAACGTGCGGGACAGTTACTGACCCTCCATGGTCAGCAGATTCTGGCCGGAGGGAACCATGCCCTCTTTCTCTGCGAACTCCAGAATGGCCTTGTAGCAGAAGTAATACTGCTCAGGGGTCTGGATGCTGAAGGCCCTCTGGGTGCGCATGCGCGACACTGTCTGGAACACATTAAGGGTGCCAAGCTCTTCCAGCTGGGCCAGGCAGATGTCCAGGGAGCAGAAGGTACCTGCAGGAAGAAGGACACTATCACAAGGCCGGTCCAGCCCTCTTGCTCAGCTTCCTCCCAAGCAACTCAGACAGGATGATGAGCGCACTAAAGGCCACAGGTGCCGGCGCTGATGGCTCATGCCTGTAATCCTAGCTACTTTGGAGGCTGAGATCTGAGACTCACGGTTCAAAGCCAGCCTGGGCAGGAAAGTCCATGAGACTCTTATCTCTAATAAACCACTAGAAAACTGGAAGTGGCACTGTGGCTCAAGTGGTAGAGCACTCACTTTGAGCTGAAGAGCACAAGGACAGCCCCCAAGCCCAGAGTTCAAGCCCCACAACCGACAAAAAAAAAAAAAAAAAGGCCACAGACCTCCTGCAGAAAGGAGGCCAGAGGGCCCTGGGCCTGGAGGAGGCAGGCCAGGAGGAGGTCACGGGGAGAGCCGGAGGCGAGGGAATGAGAACACCTCCCATCTCTCCATCATATATGGGGTGATAAGAAGAAGTGGGCAGGTAACAGAGGACTTCCTGCTTCAATCCCAGACAGACACCACCCCCCACTCCTCTGATTCCCGGAGATACATCTTCTGCAGTGGCCTAAGACAAATGGATCCTGGTTCTAGAATGAAGAACACAGTGCAGGGCTGGGGTGGAGTGGGGTGTATGAGCAGAGAGGCCCAGAAGGGAGGGGAGAGAGTGGAGGGAATGAGACAGAAGCCACGCACAAGGTTCCCACAGTGACGCGATGACAAAGTGACAGGGGACGAAAATCCCAATGGGGGACAAGCAAAGAAACGACACACGGAGGGGCTAGGTTTGCCAGGTGTATATTCTTTTTGTTTTTGGTCAGTCATGGAGCTTAAACTCTGGGGGGCCTAGGTGCTGTCCCTGAGCAATTTTGCTGAAAGGTAGTAATCTACCATTTTGAGCCAAGGCACTACTTCTGATTTCTGAGTGGTTCACTGGAGATAAGAGTCTCATGGCCAGGGGCCAGTAGCTCATGCGGTAATCCTAGCTACTCAGAGGAGGCTGAGATCTGAGGGTCAAGGTTCAAAGCCAGCCTGGGAAGGAAAGTCTGTGAAACACTTACCTCCAATAAATGCCCAGAAAAAAAACGAAAGTGGTGCTGTAGCTCAAGTGGTAGAGCACTAGCCTTGAGCTGAAGAGCTGAGGGACAGCGCCCAGGCCCAGAGTTCAAGCCCCCATGACTGACAAAAAAAAAAGGAGAGTCTCATGGACTTTCCTGCCCAGGCTGGCTTTGAACCTCGATCCTCAGTCTCCTGAGTGCCTGGCAAAGATGGATTTTTTTAGTATTTTACCACCTATGGATGAAAGGAGTACTCCCCCCCCCCCCCCCCCCCGTCCTAGACTCCCTGTAAGAGCTTGGCACTCCTCCCTGCCCCTAGACTCTCTGGATGCACCAAAAGTGCCAGCGGACTGTTTACCTGTCCTGCCAATGCCCGCGCTGCAGTGGACCACGATGGGTGGCTCGGGTCCCTGCCCCTTGGCGCGTGCGCCCGTGCTGCTCACGGCCAGGCTCTGCTGGCTCCGGACCACTCGGAGGAAGTCGATGAGTGAGGCCGCGGAGGACGGCACACCGTAGTCCGGCCAGCTGAGAAACTGGAAGTGGGTCACCTGGCGTTTCTGCCGCTCCTTGGAGGAAGGAAGGAAGAAACAGAGGTGAGGGAGGTCAGTGCTGGACACTCAAGACCCCGGCATTCCCATCGACAGCACTCCCCTCTCCTAGCTTTCCCCACAAACGCTTCTCCATCAGTCAATGAACAACGCACAATTCCTGTATTATAGGATCCAAATTAGAATCTCACTGTTTCATGTTGCCTCAAACGTCCTCTTTCTACTTCTGCCTCCCAAGGGCTGAGATCAGAGATGCGTGACACTGTCCAGTTTAGGACACAGGGCCCTAATGCTAAGCTCAGAGTGTGGCCCTGGAGCAGAATTCTTAGTGACAATGCCTGAGGCCCTGGGCTTAGTCTCCAGCACTGAAAGCAGAGTGGACACAGATTCCTGATGCTGGAAGTTTTACTCCTGTTATGGCATAGGTGCTAATATGATTTATACTGACTCTGCACTGAATATCCTTATCTTGTTCCTAGAAAACCAGAAGCAGCTCATATACTTCGTAAGGTCCAGCCTATCCTCTCTCTAGAGATTATTTCTTCTCCTCCTCCCCCCCCCCTTCTTTTTTGGTCAGTTCTGGGGACTTGAACTCAGAGCCTGGGCGCTGCTGTCCCTGAGCTCTTCAGGTCAGGGTGAGCCGGTTTTCTGGTGGTTAATTGGAGATAAGAGTCTTAGGAACCTTCCAGACTGGCTTTGAACTGCGATCCTCAGATCTCGGCCTCCTGGCTTTAGAGATTTCTTTTGAAGCTCTTTCCCAGCTTCAAAAAGAAGAGTCAGGTACTGGTGGTTCTCGATTGTAATCCTAGCTACTTGGGAAGGTAAGCTTGAGAAGAATGAGATTCAAGGCCAGCTAGAGGCAACAAGTTCACGAGACTGGGTTGGTGGAGTGGTTTACTTGGTAGAAGGTCTGCTTAGCAAGCATGGGTCATGGAATTAAAACTCCAGGATCTTAAAAATTAAAAAAAAAAAAGTATGTGAAACCCCATCTCAACAGAAGAAACTGGACATGGTGGCACGCACTTGTCTTCCCAGGTATGTTAGGAAGCAAAAACGGGGTGCGTGTGTGTCATGGTCCAGTCGCACACTTGGGCACCAAGTGAAACCTTATCTAAGCAGTAACCACTGCAAAAGAAAAAGGGCTGGATGGTTGAGAGATCCAACACTGTCTCCAGCAAGCATGAGACCCTGCGTTCAAACCCTAGCACCATCTCCCTTACCCACTCTACCCTGCACCCCAAAAGGCGAATAGAAACCTATAGTTACCTCCGTGTTGTGAATTTCTAGCGTTGTTTTCTTATAATGGTTCATGTTCTCCACGCCTAAATTAGTCACGGTGAGGAAGCCAAAGCGGATCCGAGAGTCCTTTTCTAAAGGCCAGTACTGGCCACACTTCCTCCGGCCACCTTCCTCAAAGCTGAACACAAACAGAGCGAGTTCAGCCCCCGTCGGTCCTCAACCCACAGTGGGCTCACTTCCCCACATGGCCCCCACGATCGGTTCTGCCCTTGGGGGGCAGTGCCATCTGCATTCTAACTTGCACCCCCGACTCCTGGCAGAAGAGGAAAGGAAGCCATTCATTGTGAACATGCCTCAGGCGGGCCTTGAGCAGGACATTCACAGGGCTCTTGCTCTGTCCTCACTCTGCATGGTAGTCCTCACATATTGGGGAGAAACAATGATGAACAAAGAAAGAGAAAATACTGTGGGCCGGAGAGCACTGGGCCTCCCCCGGTGAGCATCGCCTCTCCCATAAGGCGCTGGGATCCTGGAGCTGGTCAGAGGTGTGGAAGGGCCCAAGTCCTTCTCTGCACCCCTCAGTGTCCCTGTACCCCAAGATCCAAGATCCAAACCACAGGTGGCTACAACTGTTCCCCGAAAGAGGGAATGGAGCCGACAGACTTACTGTCTTATCCGTCTAAAATAGGTTATTATACTGGTAAAACAGGGAAATCCTTCAATTTGGTAGATTTGAAGGCCAAGATTTCAAAAACATTCCTCCCTTTATTGAATCAAGTTTCCTGCCTGACTCATTTTATATCATATCTTTTTCTTCTGTCCTCCTGCAGGTGGAAATATGAGTGAACAGGAAACAGCCAAAGTAGCTAGAAATGGAGCATAAAGGGGAGCTGGCTATGGCCTTACCAGGCACAGACGCTGGATTCGTGTTTCCCAATACACCATGGGACAAGGATCGGAGCTCCAAATAGGCTATAAACTGGCACAGGGGCACCAGACACATGGGCCACAACTTTGACGAGTTAACCTGGCTACACTATACCCTCATGTGCTAAGAAAACACTAAGGATATGTTTGCCCTGGCTGTTGTAATCCTCACTGTGTCTAAGAAACTCCTTCTGGAGTCACACACGCTTGGAACTGGGGTAGGGATGAGGGCCAGTGGGCCAAAGGGAATGAACTCAGGCTCAGAACACAGCTCAGCACCAAGCACTCGCCTAACACGCACCAGGCGACAGCTTCAAGTGGCACACTGCAAAAAGAAAAAGCAACGGCTGCATCCACTCACCGCGTGGTCATGACAATCACCAAGACTTTCTGCTCCCACACCATGAGCCAGAAATCCCGGTAAGTATTCTCCAAGGGCCCTGGAATATAGAAGAGCGAGCAATGACCCCAGGGCATGCCTTCCTTCCCTAGCCTCTACTATTGTCCACTGAATACTAGCTCTAAATCACAGCAGAGCCTTTCAGGGGTGTGTGTGTGTGTCAGGGGTGTGTGTGTGTGTCATGGGTGTGTCAGGGGTGTGTGTGTCGGGTGTGTGTGTGTCAGGGGTGTGTGTGTGTGTATACACCCAAATGTGCTCATCAGGACTGAAGCTTGAATTCAGGGCTTTACTCTATGACTTGACTTTTTTGCTCAAGGCTTAAAATTCTACTACTCAAGCCGCATCTCCATTTCCAGCTTTTTTAGTTAACTGGATTTGTCTGCTTACTCATGCTTTGAACCTCAATCCTTAGAGCTCAGCCTCCTGAGTAGCTAGGATTACAAGTGTAAGTCACTAGCACCCAGCATCAGCTAGTTGTTTTTTTTTTTTAATCGGTTGTGGGGCTTGAACACTGGGCCTGGGCGCTGTCCCTCAGCTCTTCAGCTCAAGGCAAGCGCGCTACCAATTGAGCCACAGCACCACTTCTGTATAGTTTTTTTTTTGTCGGTCGTGGGGCTTGAACTCTGGGCCTGGGCGTTGTCCCTCAGCTCTTCAACTCAAGGCGAGCGCTCTACCACTTGAGCTACAGCGCCACTCAGCACCACTTCTGGCTCTCTGGTGGTTAATTGGAGATAAGAGTTTCGTGGCTTTTCCTGCCAAAGCTAGCTTTTTTTTTTTGGTATCAGTTCTGGGGGGCTTGAACTCAGGGCCTGGGTTCTGTTCCTGAGCATTTTGGTGGATAACTAGGGATAAAAGTCCTATGGAAGTTGGGCCCCAGTGGCTCATGCCTGTCATCATAGATACTCAGGAGGCTGAGATCTGAGGATCACAGTTTAAAGCCAGCCCAGGCAGAAAAGTCCCTGAAACTCTTATCTCCAATAAACTACTCATAAAAAGCTGGAAGTGGCTCAAGCAGTAGAGTGTGAGCCTTGAGCCAAAGAAGCTCAGGGACAGTACCCAGGCCCAGAGTTTAAGCCCCAGCCCAGTAAAAAAAAAAAAAGGGGGAGGGGGAGAGGCAGGGCGCCAGTGGCTCACACCTGTAAACCTCGCTACTCAGGAGGCTGAGATCTAAGGATCATGGTTCAAAGCCAGCTCAGGCAGAAAAGTCCATGAGACTCTTATCTCCAATAAAATATCAGGAAACCAGAAGTGGCGCTGTGGCTCAATTGGTAGAACACTTGTCTTGAGCTGAGGAGCTCAGGGACAGCGCCCAGGCCCAGAGTTCAAGCCCCATGACTGACAAAAAAAGTCTCATGGACTTTCCTGCCACTGGCTTCAAACCACAATCCTCAGATCTCAAGTCTCCTGAAGAGTTATGATTATGGGCCTGAGCCCCTGGGGATCAGTTCAGCTAGCTTCCTGATCTTAACACAAGTTGCTACTACTCAGGGATTCCTTAAACACCCCTAACAGCCCTGTGCAGGAGAATGTCAGAAATGCAGGTGTGTGTCAGGTAAGCCAGATTCTTGCAGGAAGCACACCTAGACTGTTATGTGCCCTGAGCCACAGCTTCAGCTTCGCACATATCCAGGATGATACAGCCAACTGCACACGCCTCTAGCTGGCTCTATCTCGCCTATAAGAAGACACTGGTAGCTCAAGTCTAAAATTCTAGCTACTTAGCAGGCTGAGATCTGAGAACGGTAATTTGAAGTCAGCTCAAACAGAAAGGTTCATGAGACTTTTATCTCCAATCAACCAGCAAAATGTCATACTGGAGGCATGACTTAAATGGTAGAGCACCAGCTACAAGGCAAAAAGGCTAATAACCAAGAGGCCCTAATTCAACGCCTAGTATGCATGCACACACATGGACAAACATACACACACGCACAGACCGCATGACCATGCACGAGGCCAGGAACTGTTATAGATACCCTGGAGGTAATGATCAGGAGGCTCTCAACTCAAGACTATCAATTTCACTATACAGGAGGCATTAATAGAAATCTGAGGTCCAGGGGCTGGGAACAGGCTCAGTGGTAGAGCACTTGCCTTGCATGCATGAGGCCCTGGGTTCGATTCCTCAGCACCACATAAGCAAAAAGAAAAAAGCCGGAAGTGGCGCTGTGGCTCAAGTGGTAGAGCGCTAGCCTTGAGCTGAAGAGCTGAGGGACAGCGCCCAGGCCCAGAGTTCAGGCCCTACAACCGGACCCAAAAAAGAAATCTGAGGTCCAGATAGCCTTGAGTCCATAATGGGGAAACAACTAGAAGCAAGAAGAGCCAGGACACAACTTGAGTGGTAAAGCACAGGCCTAGTGAGCCAAGAGGCCCTGGCTCCAAATGCCAATACTGCCAAGAGGGAAGAAAAAATTACTAAGGGTAGATATCAAATGCCTTGTTCACACTATAAAGTTTTAACTGGGCACTGATGGCTCATGCCTCTAATTCCAGCTATTCAGGAGACTGAGATCTGAGGATCATGGCTCAAAGTGAGCCTGGGTAGGAATGTTCATGAGACTCTTTATCTCTAATGAACCACCAGAAAGCCAGAAGTGGTGCTGTGGCTCAAGTGGTAGAGCACTTGCCTTGAGCTGAAGAGCTCAGGGACAGCGCCTAGGCCCAGAGTTCAAGCCCCATGACTGACAACAAAAAAACAAAAAGTTTTAAAGGTTGTACACACTGTAACATTTACTCCTTAACATTTGAGAATCCAGGCACTGTTCAGACAGAACAACACTCTAACAGTACTGATCCAATGGATGCTGCCCAGAATTAGGGATATACCTCCTATCGACTCTCACTTAGTCTCAGTACTGTTTCTCCATTGAGGAGCCAATCACAAACCACACATTGCTTTGTTAACTTTGTAAGTATCTTTATAAAAATTTATTTTTTGTTATATTTTTCTTTGTAGTATTTTTGTATCTGGAACAGTTCTATGCTCTTATTTTTGTGTCCTCTTTCTAATCAGATTTCTTTTATTTTTATTTATGTTTGGCCTGGTCCTAGGGCCTTGAACTCTGGACCTGGGTACTATCCCTAAGCTTCTTTTGCTCAAGGCTAGCACTCTACTACTTGAGCCACAGCTCCACTTCTGGCTTTTCTGAGTAGTTTATTGGAGATAAAGAGTCTCACAGTTTCCTGCTTTGAACTGCAATCCTCAGATCTCAACTCTTAAATAGCTAGGATGACGGGTGTGAGCCACCAGTGCCCAGCTTTTTTTCCTTTTTGGTGCCTTTCCTGAGGATTGGACTCAGGGCCTGGGTGCTGTCCCTGAGTTTTATTTTTTGCTGAAAGCTAGTGCTCTACTACTTGAGCCCAAAGATTTTCTTTTTTGAGCCCAAAGATTTTTTAAGGAGATGAGTCTCATGAGCTTTCTTGCCTAGGCTGGCTTTAAACCTTAATCCTCAGATCTCAGTCTCCTAAGTAGCTAGGATTACAGGTACTGGTGCCTGGCTTTTTTTTTTAATTTGTTTTTTTAAATCATATTTTTAATGTTCAGAGAAGTTATACCTTTGCGTTCCTCCCCTAGAGGAATCCTCCTTTAGTCTGTCTGTGGGTGAATGCCTATAGTTCTAAACAGGTACTTGACTCTTTTCTTTGTGAGACAGACTCTTGCTTTGAAGCCTAGGCTAGCCTTAAATTTGTATGCGGCCCAGGATGGGCTCAAAGTAACGACACTCAAGTGCTGGCATTACAAGCAGAGCTGCCATTCCCAGTATGAGCCAGAGTTCTGTCATATGCTCCACAACTGGGACTGTTTGGGTTTGTTTCTCATGATTAGATTCAGCCTTTTTCTTTCCTTTTCCTCCTCCTTTCCCGTTTTCTCTCCATTTCTTCTTCTTTTTTTTTAGGTCCCGGAGAGCCTACTCAGACACTGACAGGTGCTAGGCAAATGCTCCATCACTGCGTTACATCTTCCATCCCAGCTGTGGACTGTTAAGTTCCCAGAAGCCAGAACAGCATGGCTGACATGCATGTCTCTATTTAGGGGAGGCCTATAATCTCAGCAGAGCTGGGCAGAGCTGAGGGGTAGTAGCCTGCTGGCCTAACAACGTGCAAGGCCCTGGGTTCCTTCCTCACCACAAAAAACAAACAGGGGCTGGGAAGGTGGCTCAGTGGTAAAGTGCTTGCCTTGTACACATGAGGTCCTGGGTTCGATTCCTTAGCACCACATAAGCAGAAAAAGCCAGAAGTGGTGCTGTGGCTCAAGTGGTAGAGTGCTAGCCTTGAGCTGAAGAGCTGAGGGACAGCGCCCAGGCCCAGAGTCCAGGCCCCACGACTGGCCCAAAAACAAACAAAAAAACCCACTCATAAACAAACAAACAACCCTTTGTGAGAGTTACCTTCATCAGCACCACTAGGAAGTATGAGGCTTTATCTTGCTGGTCTTGCTCTGCCATGGGCAAAGAAGTTTTGGCGGTTTGTTGCAATGTGATTTTGTCTACTTTGGACTTTTTCCATCTTCTTGTGTATTCTTTTGGAGTTGGAGTGGAATACTGTCTTATTTATATTCTCTATCCCTCAGCCTCCAAACTTACAGGAAGATGCCAATGTTCTTCTCAAGACAGGTAGAGGCCAGGTCAGGAGGAGGCCAGGTCAGAAGGAGACCTGGCCCCACAGGAGTGCATACAGAATTCCTCCTGAATCCTCCTCCCTCCTTGCCCCTTATGATTCATGGTCCAGCTTGGGACTATACTCTGGGATAGTTAAGGGACAGGCAGGAATGCTTGTGACAGTAACACCATTATTTGTGTGTATCGGTCCTGGGGCTTGAACCCAGGGCCTGGGCACTGTCCCTGAGCTTCCTTTGCTCAAGGTTAGTATTCTAGCACATGAGCCACAGTGCCACTTCTAGCTTTTTCTGTGTATGTGGTACTGAGGAATTGAACCCAGGGCTTCATGCATGTAAGGCGAGCACTCTACCACTGAGCCACCTTCCCAGCCCCTGTTCTCATCCTATGACCTGACCATACTACTATATAATCTAGGAGGTGGATTTAAATTTCCAGTTTTTGCCTTTGCAGTGAGTTTCCAGACATACTTTGTGCCAAAACTCTACTTATCACCTGTCTGCCTCAAGCATTACCAATCATTAAGAAAGGCCAGCATCTGGGGATCACAACACCAACTCAAGTTATACTTCCTTTCAAACCCATGCCAGCATGGTTTTTTTTTTGTTGTTGTTGTTGGTGGTTATGATGTTTGCTTTTGCTTTGTTGTTTTTCCTGTCTTTTGTGGGGTGGGGGGAAAAAGGGGAACAGGAACAGAAGGAGGAAGGACAAACACATGCACTCATGGCACTCAGTGTACACTATGTGGAAAATGTAACTTGTGGGTAGGGATGGGAGCAGGAAATGGGGGAAAGCAAAGGAAGGGGTAACAAAAGAAAGAAAGGAAAGAAGGAAGGAAGGAAGGAAGGAAGGAAGGAAGGAAGGAAGGAAGGAAGGAAGGAAGGAAGGAAAAGGAGGGAGGGAG